TAAGTCAGGCTTTGGGCATTGGGGTTTAGGGTAAACCCTTCATGGCCCTGAGCAGCGTAAGCCTTGGGCATTCTGGGATTCTAGTATACTCAGGTCATGCAGGAGTTTTATGTATCCACCGTAGCTTTAGTAATCCGGGTACAGAAATGTAGGGTTTTGTAACTTTTAGGTTTGGGTAGTTTCAGTAGTTCAGAGTTGGGGGCTTAGGGTTTCAGCGATTTAGGCTCTAGCATTTTGCGCATAGTAGCTCAGGGCTCTGTAATTATGTACGGTGTGGGGTGCAGAAATGTAGGATTCAGGATTTAGGGCTTTGGTTTTTAGTAGTTTAGGGTTAAAGGCGTAGGGTCCAGGCTTTAGCTATCTAAGGCTTAGGCCTGGGGGTTTGGGGTTAAGAGTTTAGGGTTTCCCTGAGCCTTAAACTCTAAAGCCTAAACCCTGAACAAGGTTTTGGGACCGCACCAATGATTTTTGAATCCGTGTTTTTGCCTATAGTAAGGCTTTAAATTCTACCGCGAGATATCGGGGAATATGGCTGGATCCCTAAACCTTTAATCCCAACGCCTAAGCCGCTTTACCCTAAAACTTATGTAGACATGTACGGAGACAAGGGGGTGCAAGCTTTAGGTTCCAGAAGCTTGCAATGCCATGTCGGGTTTAGGATTCAGGGTTTAGGACCTGAAACGATATTAAGTGTTGTAGAGCTTGGGGCCTGTAATAGAGTACAGATTCCTATTTCGGGCTTAGGGTTTAGGGGTAAGCTTCGTTGGGGTTTTCTTGCTTTCGTGCGATTCTAAGCAAACTGCAGCAGTTCGTCCCAACCTTCTTTTTTGTCGAGGATAAATGCTGTCATAGAGGCATTGTCTGAGGGTCAATGTTGCACTGACTTTAGCATGGGTCCCCCCTTCTGCCCCGGACAATAGGGTCCCCAGAAAATCAAAGATAGGTGTCCCCAATAGTGCTCCCACAGTTCTGAGGGCTCTGCGAATTACCTGTAAAGGCACGTTCTGGATTCGCTTAGGGCCCCGGAACGAAAATGCTCTATAGAGAGATTTCAACAATTATTAAACAAGAATTCTGCAATGATATTCCGGGTATTGTGTTTCGGGTAGTTCGGGTAGGTATCTGCTTCGAGTAGGGTCCTGTAGACCCCCCAACATTAGTAGAGCCCTCAACGGGGAAACCTCAAACAAGGGCCATGTTGACAACAACACCTAAACCCAACACCTAAAAACATCATCACTTTGGTATCTTATAATGTTTTGTCTCACACGTTTCTTGGCTTTCACGCGCGGCTTGCCGCAATCGCGTTTCTTCTAAAGCCAAGGCTTTTTTCTTTTTTTGACGAAATTCTTTGAAAAGGTAGAAGCTACTTCAGCTATATGAGAAGTTTAAAACCAATGGGTGGAGAACATGTCGCGCACGTTTCTTAACTTTCGTGCACGACTTTCTGCGGCTGGATTTTCGTTGAGAACGTTGTTTTGACAGAATTCTCTGAAAAACGTAGAAACTACGTTAGCCATGGATAATGTGGGCAGAATCATAAGGTGGTAGTTTCTCAAAATAGGGGGAACCCAATATCGGCCTTCAAATATTATAGTCCTGAGTAGTGGCCCCCCAAAGTGGTACCCCTGATTTGGAGAAACCCTAAACCCTATATATCCCTATGTAACTCCCATATATCCTCTATATATCCCCTATACTCCGTTTAAAAGTGTCCCTAATTTGGGAACCTCCCATATTCCCCGCACCAAGGTTGTGGTGAAGGGCTTGAAAGATCTGCCGCAGACGCTCTTCGAACAGTAGCAGCCTCTGTTTAGGGTTCCTAAACCCTAAACCCTAAACCCCCCCATATTATACCCACCCCTGTTATGGAGTTGAAGTAGCTGCACTCACTCCCCCACTCCTCCTTAAGCATTGGTAAGTCTGCCGTCTGCTGTCCAACTACTTGGTGGGCACACTAAGATGGTGTACATGAAGGTTCATGGGAATCAGGAAAGCAAGGTAGAATCATGCCTATGACTGGACCCTACACCCTAAACCCTTAAACCCTAAACCCTGGCTGCTGAAGAATTTTAGGGGCAGTGTTTTTCTGTGGGGCAAGCCAAGCAAGCTGTAAGAGCTGTGGCACGCCCGCTCGTAACGAGCTTTACTAAGCTGGAAGCAGAGAGTAAAAGGGGGGCTTAAAAAAACCAGATAGGAGCCACGAACCCGAATGCAGACACGCGTCACGAACATGCAACTATAAAGGACCAGACGCGCGCGACGCTTGACGACATTCTATCTTCTTGTATCTATGTCTTCCCAACTCTCTCTGGTCTTCTGTCTTTAGTTTCAATACATTTAATGTATTTGTATATAATTTTCATATATACATGAGCAATACGCAGCCGACAGTAGCACGTAATCTTTTTTTGCATCAGAAGCGCTCAAGTCATGAGTTACATCCTGATGCTTTTGTGCCGTTATCGTGACATTGATGCAAATCCTCTTTAAATCAGCATGTTTGCCAATGCGGTCAGATGATATGCGTATATGTTTGCACGCACGGCGCTCTAGGATCATGCATCTGCTCACTGGTAGTGGGCGACCTGGCAGAGGACGAAGGAATCAAACACACTTCCACTGCAGAGTACGGAAGCAGACGAATCCCATCCGTGCCTATTCCACAATGATGTCTGCGGAGCCTGGCGTCTCATAGCTTCCACATGAGGACGACACAAAGACTGAGGCTACGCAATTAACGGAACAGGCACCTGACACGTAGCCCAGTCGCCCAGATGCCATTGTCGGATGCCTTCAGGTGGTTGTAGTAGCAAGCATGAAAGTCTTCAGACGAGCCATCTTTCGAAACTAAGCGTCAAAATGCCTTTTTTTCCGGCTTCAAGCAAGCGTACGCAGCGGGCTACATTCACTGCATCGTTCCGATGCGTTCACAGGCACGGGGTCCGAGCCTCCAGCGCACTGCGCCCGCCTAAATCATGCTGCAATGTGTCTGGAAAGTCAACGAATTTACTCCTGTCCCGCCAAGCAATCTCATGTGTTCTGCGATCACAAATCTCCTTGCTCGCGCAGACAGCGTTTCCCTTGCTGCCACTCTTTCTCGCGCATCCTCTGAGCCACACGACGAAAGTCGTCGCGGCTCGGCTCGTAGGGAAAACGCTTCCTGCCCTTTTTGGTCTGGGAACGCCTGTGCTCGCAAAGTTGATCCTGAACCACATCTAAGCTCAACGGTGGCAGGTGCTTTCGCAGCTTTCCACATCGGTTCAACTCCACCTGCATTTTCCTCTTGAGCCACTTCAGCTTCGTTACGTCGGACGTGAGGTTGGACGGACACATCGCTTTCATGGCGCTTCTGGCACCCCAGCCAACACGAATCATGGGCCACAGTCGAAAGCCAGATTTGCATCGTCCCCAAGAGAAAGCCTGGACATGTCGAAGAAATATCATGCGCGGCAAGGTGTGCTTTGCGGAGAGCCCCAGCGTCTCACACACGTCGGCCACATCTTTGCCAGAGCGTATCGTAGGAGAAGACAGCAGCTTGACGAACGCACGCACCTTCACGGCGGCACCGAGTTCCTGCAGATGCATGCAGGCCAACTTCCGCTGGGACGTCATCTTGAGCCCGCGGGCTTTGGCATACGCATTCCAATACAGCAAGCGTTCACGCGGATAGGCATTTCCCAGTGTCGTTCTCTCGAGCGCGTGCATGCAGCGTTTCCCGTTGAACGTTTCGCCATCGAAGGTGCCATAATGTAGCAGAAGCTCGGAGGCGCTCTGAGACGTTTGCAAAAGATACACAAAGAGAAACGTAAACATGAGAACCGTCTTGGCCTTCGCCATCGGTACATACTCCAAAGAGCCGGGCAAGAAATCCAGCATGTGCAGCTTGAGCCAGAGACTGCTGTAATTCAGCAAAGGAAAGGCTTCCCCCACGGATATCTTCAGGGAACGCCTCCATGCCAGCTTCAGCTTGAGCGCCATGTCATTCCCGACAAGACCACTCTCCTCCACTGGCCCCAGCAACTGAACCTTCTGCAAAAACATGACAATGCCAGCCAGCCAAAAAAACGAGAAACGATCGAAGCGCCGCCAACTTGGGATCACGTATTTTTTGCTTGCGGCGCGTATAGTCTCCTTGCCGCTATTGGTCGACCCAGAAAACGAGGGCACCTCCCGACCCGCTTTCCTCGCTGCCTCCTGACGGCGAAGACGATACTCCCGCTGCTCTGCCGCGGTTCTTTTGCCGCCCATGGCCGCGAGGGTCCGTCAAGCCACAGCTGCGCGACAGGGTCCTAGCCTCCAGTTCCCAACTTTCCAGTCTACGCGGATGACCTAAATGTGGATGACAGCTTCCTCGCGACGGGGTCCTCGCCTCCAGACGCAAACTAGGCTCATGCGCGTGTCATGGGAATTGAAATGCTAGCTCTGCTTCAATGGACCAAGCGTGCAATCGTTGAAAAGTAGTTTGCTGAGCCGACAGCGAACAGATGGACATCACTGCGCACATCGCTTGCATGCATCATGGCATGTACCCAAAAACGAGGATGAGACTCCTACTGCTACTGAATTCAAGATTCGAGGTTGACCCGGGCCTGCGTCCGCTGCATGAGCGCGCGCACCCTCGCCTCCACGAAGCAATGTTGACTATCCATTGATCAAGCGTACGCAGCGGTTGTGAATACACAGGCTGTCTGAACACGACGGACAGCAAACGCACATGCAAGCCATGCGCACATGGACGAACCTGCCTTGTAATGATGCCCTCGTTGTCGAAAGTGAACCTGTCCAGGTGACAAGTAGTCAGAGCGCGGTGCAAAGCATGCACGAGCTACAGCACTGCGATCAACCACATGAGGCCCGCCTCTCGAGGGGATTTTTCGTTAGAAGCCTGACCAGATCACCTCCAAGCGAACTTTCAAGCGCGTACAAGCTACATCCATGGCAGATCATGGCAGGACCGTACAGTTTAGGACTTCACGTGAAGAGCTGCATCGCTGTTTTCAATCAACTTCGCAGTCTTCCTCATCCCCCACCCCTTCGGAATCGGTATTGATTTCCCATCGATCATCCTGCAGCAAACGAACGATATCCGTGTGGCCATGAAGGAGACTCACGGTGAGCGCCGTGCGTGAGGAGTGCGGCGCACGAGAGTTAATGCAGGCGCCAGCTTCGAGCAGCAGACTAGCAATGTCTGCTTGGCCCTCAAAAATCGCACAAAGCAGCGGCTTGCAGCCACCGGGACCGCGCATGTTTGCACACGCGCTCGCTTCTAGCAGCAAGCCTGTCACTTCTGCGTAGCCCAGCGTGCACGCGGCGGTAAGGCACGTGTTGCCGGTCCGATCCTGAGTGTTTGCAGATGCTTGAAACGCCAGCAAGGACCGCACCATCTCGGGTTCGTTATTCAGACATGCCATCATCAGTGCAGTTCGACCGCGATTGTCCATGTGATCCACCCGAGCAGAACTTTTGCACGGCTGCTTTGGCACATTCCACGCGGTCTTCTCGGGCGGGCAATCGGACATTGCCGTATTTCTTCAGGTTGTAAGGGTATGAGCACGTGGACGCCTTGGCCGCGCAAATCAAAGCAGTCATGCCATGGCCGCGTTCATTAACAACAGCTCGGGCCTCAAGCAAGTAACCGACCACTCTCGCGTGGCCATTGACACACGCATACATGAGCGGCGTTGTGTTGTCGGCAGACCTCCGATTAACGTTAACTCGAAAGTGGAGCAGCATGCGCACAACCTCCACGTGCCCTTGCTCGGAAGCCAGCATCACGGCCGAGACGCCCCTGCCGGTCTGGGCACCAGCGTTGGCTCGTCTTCGCAGCAACAAGTCGAGAATGCTGTCATCCCCGGTTCTGCACGTTTTCAGCAGTGGTGTCATACCATCTGTCCCTCGGCATTCAATGTCGGCATCATACTCGAGGAGCAACGCCGCCACCTGTGCCTGTCGATGCACACAGGCCAGCGCCAGCACATACGCACCAGACCTATCACCGATCCAATGCTGTACATCTATACCAGCGTCCAGCAAACAACGGACAAGGTGAATCCTGCCCAACGCTACTGCTGACTCGAAGTCGTTTCGTGCCAATTGCATGTTCCAAGAATTCTGCTTGCTCAGAGTGAGCAACAAAGTCAAATCCCTGGTACCTTCCTGTGTCGCATCAACCACCAAGACTTCACCTGTCGATTCATGACAGCCGCGCATGAGTCTCTGCAAATATTCAGGAAATTCATATGTTTTCCAGAGATACCACCGTAAATCTCTGACACGTGCGCCCATTGCGGCACCATCGATAAAGAATTCCTGACCGGAAGCTCGAAAAACGCGCGCCATCGCGACGCTGATGGCTGCGCGAGTACCACCAGGCTCTGTCGCCAAGTGAGTAACGTGAGCTTCACTGCCGCGCGACGGGGTCTTCGCCTCCAGCCAAGCGGCGCCCGGCAGACACGCCAGCAAATAGCGTCCTGACCGCTAGCTAAGCTACGGAAAGGTGTCGACGGAGCCGAAATTCACATTGCGACGGCCTTGCTGTTGGATCACAAGTCCATGAAGAGCAAGCACACATAAAAGAAGAAAGGAACGAGGCACATGCACGAGCCTGCCTCGTGATGATGTTCTCGTTGTCGCACATACTCCTGTCTAGGTGAAGACGGGACAGACAGAGTGCCAGAGCACGGTACTTCCCGGGAAGTACTCCCCGCGACAACTACGCACACTGACGAACCGGCCTCGTGAGGATGCACTCGTCGTCGAAAATCAACCTGTCCAGATGACGAGTAGTAAGAGCACGGTACAAAGCATGCACAAGCTACAGCACTGCGACTCTAACGCAGAAACCCTCACTAGGCCAGGCCTCCAGACGCGAAGACTGCATTGCGCAGTTTGGCCAATGGATCAACTCTTTAAGCACTCCAGGCAGGATGCGCAAGAAGACCCTTGAACTAACGTGAACCAAAACCAGACCCTTGGCCTACATTAAAAACTCTGATCGCATGGCTGCCATGTGTCTCTCTC